AAGTTTATTTTGAGAGAGAGGGAGTGAGTGAGGGCGGGGCAGAGAGCTTGGGAGAGAGAATCCCAAGCAGGCTCTGCACTGTCAGCACAGAGCCCAAATGGGGGCTCAAACCCACAAAGCCACGAGATGGTGACCTGAGCCAAAACCAAGAGCCAGACACTTAGCCAACTGAGCCACCCAGGCGCCCCTTAAATAAATATTTTTAAAATACAATAAAATTGAAGAGTCTTAACCAAGCATATTCTTCAACATTTAGTTCAATTGTTCATAAATGTGCTATATGGAAGTAAGAATTCTGCATAGTAATGGATTAGTGGGTCACCTTTTCTCAGGAAGTTACATGCTTTTGGTTTAATCTGGATTGCTGGTGAGGATTTTTCTATATTTTCATTTTCTGGGCTTGGAGGAGGAAAAGCAAAATTGACAGGATGAAAAACTGTAAGTGATGAGGGTCCTAAGGAAGATGAGATCTTTGGAGTGAAGGAAAAAAGACCCCGAAGGATGCAAGCCAGAAACCAAGCCATCCTCTTGCCAAGTTTTCTAATGTTCACCTCCTTTGTGAGGTCTCTTGAAAGGCGAGGTAAAAAAAAAAAACGTTTCTCCCCAGTTTGCCCCCAATGTCTCTTGCTTTCCAGGGCTGCTGTAACAAATTACCATTAACTGAGAGTCTTAAAATGACAGGAATTTGGGGCACCTGGCTGATTCAGTCCTAGAGCCTGTGACTCTTGATCTCGGGGTTGTGAGTTTCAGCTTTATGTTGGGCTAGGAGCCTACTTAAACCCAGGAAGGGGCGCCTGGGTGGTTCAGTTGGTTAAGTGTCTGACTTGGGCTCAGGGCATGATCTCGTGGTTGTGAATTTGAGCCCCATGTTGGGCTCTGTGCTGACAGCCCAGAGTCTGGAGTCTGCTTCAGATTCTGCGTCTCCCTCTCTCTGCCCCTACACTGCTCACAACGCTGTCTCTCAAAAATAAATAAACATTAAACAACAACAACAACAACAACCAGGAATTTATTCTCTCACAGTTCTGGAGGCCAAAAGTCTAAAATCAAGGCATCAGCAGGGCTGTGCTCCCTCCAAAGGCTCTAAGGGAAAATCCTTCCTTGTCTCTTCTGGCTTCTGGTGGCTCCAGATGTCCTTGGTTGGTGGCCATCTCACTCCAGCCTCTGCCTCCATCATCACATGGCTTTCTCCATGTGTCTCTGTATGTCCTTTTCTGTCTCTTACAAGGACACTTGTCATTGGATTTAGGACCCACCCTAACCTTGTGTGATCTCATCTTAATCTTTACCCTAATTATATATGCAGAGACACTATTCCAGATGGTCATGAAGCTTGGAGTGGACACTGTTCAACCCACTACAAGCTTGTTCCTCAAGGTCTGCTTCTGCCTTTGGGTGAAGTATATTCTCCTTTAAATGACAGTGAGCTCTCTACCTAGCTATTGATCAGAAACAATCATCTTATAATAGTAAATTAACATACAGAAAAGTACAGAAATCATAATGGGGTCTGCACAAAGTCTACATACCCATGTAAGAAGCACCCAAATCAAGACACAGAACATTCCCCCTATAGATTAGGAGCCATATCCTCTCCTTTTTTCCATAAAATTTAAGGAGAATTTTTAATTGTGGTAAATGCACATAACAAAATTTACCATCTTAACCATTTGTAAGTAAACAGTTTAGTGGCATTAAGTACATTTACATTGTAGAGTAACCACTGATGTGGAGAACGATGGCAAAAGAAATGTGCATAAAATCAAATCTAACAACCTGTAGCCCATTGACAAATACTTTTGGCAGGTAGAGTGTGACATTCCTCAAAGAACTCAGAACTGCCTTAAAGTTAATGCTTTGCTAGAGGCAAAAAGTAACCTTAGCCTGATGTTAGCTGGACATCCAGGATCTCGTAAGTCTTCTTTAACTATAAAAATCCCTTTGGAAACTTCCTTTATCTCTACCCCCCAAGATGTATGTTAGCAATCACCCATCAAACATATGGCCCATTGATATACATCTGAAGAGTCTCATTGATGTGGGGAACCGAGGGAGAGAGAAGGAAATGTAGATAAAATTAAATTTCCTTCTAACCTGCAGC